ATATTCAAAAGAACAAGAAAATATGCCAGATGAGCCCCCAGGGAGGGAGGAGGCTACGTTGAAAATGGGGCGGGAGGAATTAAGTGTGAAGACAGAAATAATTTCCACCACCCCACCACACATACCACTTTAACCCAACCCTCCCTTATGATAAGTCACGGGTGGTGTTTTGCCCACCGCCCCTTTCTGCATGGTGTCACTTGTCACATCAGTTGTATTTGTTGCACCCAGGGGAGCCAGGGGAGGGCCAGAAGGAGGAGACTGGAGGCATGAGCTAGGAGAGGCTGGGGGTTGGCCAGCTTGTTGATTGCTTGTTTTTAGTGGTTGTTTTATGCCCCTGTCCCCCATGAAAACATATCTATTGACTGTTGCTTTCATTCGTTGAGAGATCACCATGAACTGCCCTCTTATCTAAAGAATTTTGAAAGTAGAAGAAGCTTGACACACAACCCTCCGCCATGGACTCGCAGCCATTTGCCACACCATGGGCTCCAGCTGTAGAAACACTTAGAAACAGGGGGGGCGGGGGTCAGGAACCCAACTCTGCACACTGACTAAAACAAGCAGAAAAAGGAATTTACTGCAAGGCTTCCGACCTGCAAGTTGGGAAACTCCAGGCTACGGGACCAACGAGTTACAAGTTGCTCACAGATTAAGGGATTTTTATGGGATAAACGAGAAAGTTGTTGGGGCTTTTTTAGCTCATTTGTTGCCTAATAGTCTTCTTATTTGGATCAGGGTGGCTGAGTCAGGGAGACAAGGAAGTCCAGAGATGGCATGAACAGACTTGGTATTGGGGGATTAGCTGGTGTCCTCTGCTGATTTCTGAGAATGGCTATGCTTTTGTGTCAGGTCAGGTTCAGTTTCCTTAATGTGTGCGTGTTGACTGCCTCCATTTTTTCCTTGACATAAGTGACTCAGTTTTAGTTTGATTCTAGAAGGGTAAGATTTGGAGGCCCCATAAGAGGGTATAACCGAGTCTTCTCCCTCAGACACTTCATTCTGCACCCTGAGAAGCGCATTCTCTGGAGCCTGAAGGCGACAGTCTTACATCAATGTTGGGGAAGCCAGACGTTACAGGCTTTGATTTCTCAGGCAAACTTCATTTATTGACATGTAAGTTTAAATTATCTTTAATAAAAAGCCTTTTGAAATCCAAAATGCTAGGCCAGTCATTCCTTTTCTTGGGAAAGGTAAGAGCAGGGAGGTTAATCAATATGTTGTTAGGTCCAGGTATAAGCACAGATCCAGGTAGGTCAGAGGTCTTGGAAGATTAATCAGATTTAATTATGCGTATTTCATTATCTTCATAATAAAATTCTTTCTTTGTTTACTGATAGTTAATGAGAAGCAACACAAATAACATAGACTAGCCATCTCAACCAGTAAACAGTGTTTAATATAAGAAATTGTGTTTGGGCCTGACCAGTGCGGCTCGGTGAATTGTGTGTCGTCCCATGGACTAAGAGGTCCCGGTTCGATTACCAGTCAAAGCACATGCCTGGGGTTTCAGGCTCGATCCCCAGTAGGGGGCGTGCAGGAGGCAGCTGATCAATGTTTCTCTCTTGAATCAATGTTTCTCTCTCTCTCTCCCTTCCTCTCTCTCTAAAAGATAAATAAAAACACATTTTTTTAAAAAAAATTTTTGTTTGTATCCTTAAATCATAAAATTTTTGTTTAGGAAACTGAATGTGCTGGCTAAAGTTGTAAAATGATCTCAGTAGTTTTGAATGAACTGAACCCGGCACTCTGCACGTTGTGCGGATTCCCTGGTCTACTCTTCTCCGGCTTCTAAGGGCCTAGTAAATAAACGGTCATTCTAGCGGTTCTAAAGCCAAACACACGAAAACTTTCACTTTTCCCTAACAAAGTCAGAAATAGTTTCCGTTAAATTTGAATTCAATATTAGAGCAATCCAAAGGAAGGGTGCCAGGTTTTCCACAATTCCTCAATGTTACTCTTCCTATCACATCGGACAAGTTTGGGTATAACTAAATTGTACAAAATAGATACCCGTTACACGTGTAAACGGACTCCTATTTCACATTGTTACAGGGGAACTTGTTTTCTAGAGCAGCATCCTGATGTAAAACAATGTATTATACCTAAAAAATATAAAAACAGCAGAATAAGATTCTTACATATTGACTGTTGCGTTTAAATTGGAGTCTGTGTCGATTGGAGTCTGTGTCAATATTGCATTATATCCTTTTCACTCTTCCCCTTTACAAACAGGCTCCAGTAATGAGTGGCTCCCATGTAAATAAGAACATCTCATTTCTTGGGATAACATTTTACAGTTTTCACAGTCTGTCTCATTTGATCATCAGAATATCTTGTGTGGTATGTTTCCCTCCCATTCTGCAGATGGAACAACTGAAGGTCTGAGAGGCTGTGTGACTTGCGGAAGATAATCAGCAAGTGAAAAGATAATGTCAGGGCACAAAGCCAGGTTTTCTCCGCCAAATCATGTGTCCTTCTAGCACACATGATGTCACGTTTGGGAACTGAGCTTCTCCCCTCCAGGGAAGCTGTATCTGCTAAGGCAGTCAATGCAAGATGCTGAAAAGCTTTGAATTTTGGACCAGTTTTTGTTAGGGCAGAGGCATGTGCCCCTAGCAGTGTGGCTAAGGAAATCACATGTTAACTCTCTAATCTACATTTCCCCAAAACACTTTCTTATTACATACAGAGAGACACTTGGGCCATTACCTGGTTAACATCTGCACATTGCTGCTGGGAATTCATTAGCTTCAGAGGAACATGACCGTAGTCGTCACACTTGAACACAGAAGGTGGGGCATTAATTATTAACAAGAGATCGCCCAAAAGATACAGCACAGAATTATTAGCAGGGCTGTCGGGACTGTCAGGACAGAATGACTAGCGCTCACGGGCCATCTTGGGAACACGAAAGGCACTGAGTCTGCCCTGAGCATTCACAACACCCTACAAAAGCCCAGTGGGAAAGAACAACCTGCTATTCTCAGTCAGTTATGATTCTCATACTTATTTAGATGTATTGAGCCCTTCTAAAACCTACGAGGCGGCAGATTTACACTTGGTCAAGGCACCAGCATTTACTTGCAATCCAATACATTCAACCGATCTTTGTTAAACACCCATGGTGTGTAAGGTTCAAAGCTACACTCCTGGGGTCCTGGTGGAGCAGGATGCAGGATTGCCCTTGGTACGACAATCATTCACTGGGGAGAACCAAGATAATACTCAAATCTCCATCCTGCAAGCCAGAATGGACCTCTCCAAAGACCTGGCTGGCTCCACGAAGAGAAGAAACAATATCTGAAGAGCACAATGGAGGTGCGGAGCAAAATTAACATTTCCTGAGCACCTTCTATATGCCAAGTACTGTGCCAAGTGTTCAGTGTCACAGCAAATCTATGAGATGGGTTATTATGCCCATTTCACAGATAAGGAAACTGAGGCTTCTTGGGCTAACTTACCCAGAGTCCCACTGGTAAGTGGCAGAGCCAGATTTACACCTGGGGCCCCCCAGCTGTAAAGCAAGAAGAAAAAAAGCCCATTCTTTCATCTTCCGCATCCTCCTCTCCCTGCGACACACCTCCTCTTGTCTGTGTTACGGGGTCCTGTCTCTGCAGAGCTGGGACAGAAAAGTGAGTTCCTGGTTCTAAGTCTGACATCAAGATCCCTCTCTAGCATTCATGACCCTCTTGTGTTTCCCATTGTCAAAATGGACATAGTCAGTCCAGGGTGTGACCTGAATGCCAAGTGCAGTGGTAATAGAATTCCCAGAGGAGAAGCTCTAGGAGCAATCTGGTTGGAGGGAAAGTGGGAGGGACTAAAAGATTTTTCTAGAAACCTTTTATAAGAGTGCTGTGACTTCTCACATAACTAGGATTAATCACCAAAAAACTGACGTAATAGCTTATAGGTAATTAATAAAAATATATACTGAGCCCTGGCTGGTTTGGCTCAGTGGTTGGAGGTCAAGGGCATGTACCTCAGTTGCCGTTAGTTCCTGGCCCTGGTCCGGGTCGTACGGGAGGCAACCAGTTGATGTGTCTCTCTCACATCAACATCCCCCCCTCCCCGGTCCCTCCCACTCTATCTGAAGATAAATGGAAAAATATCCTCGGGTGAGGATAAAAATATATATATATTTAAATATATATATATACTGAGCTTACAAATTAAATGAATAAAAATGTCTGCTCAGTACATAAAAAAGCAAAGTTAACTGAGTTAAAGAGAAGAGCAGGAGCCGAGGAGTTTTTCTTTTTAATGTTTATTTTTTTACATTTCTAATCATCCATCAATTATTCCACAAGGCAGGACCGCACTGTGGCTACATGTTGGCACCAAAGGCCAGACCACATGGGTTTGAACTCTGGCTTCATTGTTTATTGGGTCATCTTGGGCAAGTTACTTAATTTCCCTGTGCCTTAGTGTCTATTAATGAGGATAATAACAATACCTCTCTCATAGGGTGGTTGTATTAAATACCTGCACAGCACTTAGCACTCAATAAATTATAAAGATTCTCAATAAATGTTACTACTTATTATTCCATGTGTTACCATCAGCCTGAGGTGTTTCAACACATGCATTATAGATTCTTTTCTCTTTCTTAATTTTTGTTTGGAATGATCTTGGAGGCAATGACTATTTAAGATTATGAGAAGCTGAAGATACCTCTCCAAACCAGCTTCTTGGTTGGTACCTTAACCAACTTTAAATAGGTCTGACTGAGAAAAGTTATCAGTAGCAAATAGCAAAGTTTCAATAGCAAATTTTTTAAAAATATGGTAATCGTTATTCTTCTAAGCCTCTGAAATTAAAATAAAAGAGGGAACAGCAGTGAACTTTAGGAAAAAGCTGGGGAAAAAAGCACAGAATCAACAAAGACTTTAAATACTTTAAAGAAAGTATGTACCTTCTCATCACATTTGCATGGGGAGAAACTGACATCTGTGAAAGCAATTTAGATTTACTTTGGATATAATTATACGATTCTGCAGTATTCTTTTTGCCATCCATTGCTCTCCCAACACCCCCTTTTCTATTGCAATCACAGGAGGCAGGCAGAAGCATCTGGGGAGTCAGAAGAGGGGGATATCAGCCCTCCTGCAATGTGTTCACGGAAGCATGTCCCTGCGGCTCTGCGTTTACAGAATTTTATTTGCGTAGAAGTACTGCAGGAGCTCTGGATGACAGTGGCTCTGAAAGAAATGAACAAAGGAACACGTGAGGGAGGGAGTGAGCAAACCTCCCACAGAGGGAGTACACGATTGTCCAGTGCAGAGCCTGAGGACAGGCGGGCTTCGGATTCTCAAGCTGGGGGCATCCTTGCCTGCGCCCATCAGATGACCTGGACTGGAACTGCTGATAGATTTTGTGTGTAATCTTCCAGGCGTTTTGTCACTTCTGTTACATTATGGGTCAATTGCAACTGAAATTTATGGGGACAAACTCCCCGGTGCGCCCAGCTACTTTCCACATCAACACCGGGCACCCTGGGAGGATCCTCTCCTACGCTCACTCACCAGCTGCCTGCAGAGCTTGCGGTTCCTTTGATCGTCGCTCGGGAAGCTGTGTTCCTTCCTTTGCCTCAGAAACGGAGCGCAGGCTCGAACCGTGGCTTTGCAAGCCTGAGGAGAAGAATATTCCCATCTTACTGTCCAAAAGCCTCGAGAATTCTTTTTTCAATTACAGCTTACATTCAGTGTTATTTTGTATTAGTTTCAGGTGTACAACATCGTGGTTAGACAACCATATACTTTTCTAGGGGATTCTTTCATCCCAACCAAGGAAGAGGATTGTACCCAATCTTCTGTTGTCTGGGGGCCACTGACAGTGTGAAAGTGACCTCCAGGAAGTCTGCAAACCTGAACCTCAAAGGATTTATGCTTATAAAACGACCATGTCTATAATTTGGGGCTGGTGGGAAGGGCATAGCTTTATAGTTTACCACAGGCTCTGTTATGGTCCCATCAAAGTGGTACTGGGTTCTTAAGTCTAATCTCTCTCTCTCTCCCTCCCTCCCCTCTCTCTCTTTCTCTCTCTCTAAATTAAAGACAAGTGGTTTGTGGAACCCTTTGTTCCCAATAGTTTTGAAACACTCACCCAGTTCAACTTCAAAGCAGCCCTGAGGCTGATCCAACCCTGTTAGGACACATTTCTCCAAGAATAAAACAAAAGCTCCACAGGGAATTGGGGAGCTGGTGGGGGGGGGGGATAGAAAGTCTATACTAAGTGCAATGACAAAAGCTCACAGGCATGAATAAATACCCTCATCATGAGGACGGCTGCCCACGGCTTAACCCTGAGCCTCTCTGCCCCTGCCTTCCATTTACCTGAACTCATCTAGCATCGACAGGTGCTGGATCGGGCAGGTGGAGCAGGAGCAAATGAAAAATAACTCTCACGTGGAGGGGGCACTTTTTCCAGGATTCACATGGATATGCCGCTACGTGTTTATAACTGAACTGGTGGGAGCTGAGAGTCTGGCATCTCAACTCAACGGGGCGGCATCAGGACTCCCTTACAACGGTCGGAGATTTCTTATGGCTGGCTGGAGGGTCACAGACTTACCTTGGCAACCTGGGGATTTCTATCCTGTAAGTGGATCAGGAGGGAATCTTGAGTCTGCTTAACTTGATTGGTAAAAAATTTCTTCCATTTCCGCCCAGCAAAGGCAGGCAATTGCCCGAACAAGACAAAGGCCAAGTATCTCAGGCTGTCGTTCTCCTGTGGGTTCCCCGTGAGCAAAACAACAAAACCCAGGTCAGTACTAAAGGTAACTGCACCAGAGAAAATCACAACATGTTACAGGGGGGCCATCAGATCCAGTGCACAGCGCTTAGCTGGCTGGGGTGGGGGGTGGGATGGAGAGGGGCTGAATCTTCAATGAACCTTTTTGCCAACAGACAAGAGGATTAGACTTGGGGATCACTAGTGCTACTTCCAACTTTCTGGCTTTTTTCTTCATTACTTATGTTTTAGAGATACAATTCATTTACATGGTTCAAAATTCAAAATAACCAGAAAGATTTATTTTAAAAAGTAAGGCTCGTCCGGCCGGTGTGGCTCAGTGGTTGAGCGTCGACCCATACACCAAGAGGTTGCCAGTTCGATTCCTGGTCAGGACACATGTCCAGGTTGTGAGCCCAATCCTCAGTGGATGGCATGCAGCATGCAGGAGGCGGCCAATCAATGTTCTCTTGTCGATGTTTCTATCTGTCTCTCCCTCTCACTTCCTCTTTCTCTAAAATCAATAAAGAGGAAAAAAAAAAAAAAAAAGTAAGGCGTAAGGCTCTCCCTGGCCAGGTGACTCAGTTGGGTGGAGCATTGTCTTATGCACCAAAAGGCTGCAGGTTCGATTCCCAGTCAGGGCACATACCCAGTTTGTGGGTTCAATCCCCGGTCGGGATGTGTACAGGGAGCAACCTATCGATGTCTCTCTCTCTCTTTCTCTCTCTCAAAATCAATAAAAAAACCTTTTCCTCGGGTGGGGATTAAAAAAACGGTCTCTTTTCTCTCTTTTCTACCTCTCTCCCCCTGCCATGAAATTTTCCTCCCCACAAGCTAACAATGGTATATGTTTTGCGTGTATCCCTCCAGAAAATTAAGAAAAAGCACACATTACATAGAGCTTTGCCACGTTTTTATATAAATGGAAGCATAACACCACTGTTCTGCCCTTGATGTTTCCAATGACAATATATCTGGGAGCTCTTTCTACGTCATACATACAGGATTTTTTTGGGGGGGGAGGGGGCTGCATCATAATTCATATGTCCATTCCCTTTTTATTACTCCCAGCATCTTTGCCAAGTCATCTGTCTTTAACTTTGGTCTGAGTTTCCCTATGCCTGGTGGAAATACCAGTTATGTTGACTCCCTGAGGCCCGGCCAACTAACTCTCCCTGCTTTTAGCCCTACTGGCTGGTTTGTCCCTGCGTGCACGTCAGTGGGTTCAGCCCTTTCCTCCTCTCCAAGGTGAGCTGTCTGGTTCAAGAATCTCCCTTCCCGGGTGAGGAGACCAAGGGCCAGAGTACCATCATCAGGTAACAGAGAACCAGGGTAGTAATCAAGTCTGCTGACTCTTGGTGCAGGACTTTTATATCGGTGCTTCCTGGTCCTGTCCAGCTCCGGGTGAACCAGATGGAACAGGGCTGGGATGGGGTTCCTCGGGCAAAAGGAACACCAGAACCGGGGGTCGCAGAGACTTGGCAAGACTGAACACCACTGATCATTTGGTGAAGCATTTTAAGATATGGTTCCATGTGGACATACAGAAATGGCTTCAGTGTTGCATTGTCTTCACTGCTGTGTGTGTGTGTGTGTGTGTGTGTGTGTGAGAGAGAGAGAGAGAGAGAGAGAGAGAGAGAGAAACCTCAGCAGGCTAACATTAGTTTAAAAGGAAGGCATCTTAGCATACAGTGGAGTAAAGACAGCCTCTTTAATAAATGGTGTTGGGAAAATTGGACAGCTACATGCAAAAAAATGAAACTAGACCATCAACTTACACCATACACAAAAATAAACTCAAAATGGATAAAAGACTTAAATGTGACCCGTGAATCGATAAAAATTCTAGAAGAAAATGTAGGCAACAAACTTTCGGACATCATACGGAGCAGAATTTTCACTGATACATCACCTAAGGCAACAGAAATAAAGGAGAAAATGAACACATGGGACTACATCAAACTAAAAAGCTTCTGCACAGCAAAAGAAACAATCATCAAAATGGAAAGGCAACCCACTGTATGGGAGAACATCATTGCCAATGATGTATCAGATAAGGGGTTAATTTCCAATGTATATAGAGTGCTCATACAACTCCACAAAAGGAAGACAAAGAACCCAATTAAAAAATGGGCAGAGGAGCTGAATAGACACCTCTCCAAACAGGACATACAAATGGCCCAAAGACATATGAAGAAATGCTCAACATCACTAATCATCAGAGAGATGCAAATTAAAACAACAATGAGGTATCACCTCACACCTGTCAGAACGGCCGCCATCAACAAATCATCAAACAACAAGTGTTGGCGAGGATGTGGAGAAAAGGGGACTCTAATACACTGCTGGTGGGAATGCAGACTGGTGCAGCCGCTATGGAAAACAATATGGTGCTACCTCAAAAAATTAAAAATTGAACTTCCATTTGACCCAGTGATCCCACTTCTAGGAATATACCCTAAGAAGCCTGAAACACCAATCAGGAAGAATATATGTACCCCCATGTTCATAGCAGCACTATTTACAATAGCTAAGATCTGGAAACAGCCCAAGTGTCCACCAGTAGACGAATGGATAAAAAAGCTGTGGTACATATACACAATGGAGTACTATGCAGCTGTAAGAAAGAAAGATCTCTTATCCTTTGAGATGACATGGAGGGACCTGGAAAGTATTATCCTAAGTGAAAGAAGCCAAGCAGAAAAAGACAAATACCACATGATCTCACTTATATATGGAATATAATGAACATAACAGTCTGAGGAATACAGTAGACCCAGACACATGGAAGTAGGGCACAGACTGACATCCCTCAGAAGAGGGGATGGGGGGTGAGGGAATGGGGGGTGGGAGGGTGGGAAGAGATAAACCACAGAACTTATATGCATGTATGCATGACCAATGGACATGGACAACTAAGCCGGGGACAGGGTGGAGGGGGGGGGTAGGGTGGGGGGTGCCAATGGGGTAAAAAGGTAAAATATCTGTAACAAAAAAATAAATAAAAATTCATATAAAAAAATAAAAAATTAAAAAAATAAAAAAATAAAAATAAAATAAAAAAATAAAAATAAAATAAAAAAATAAAAATAAAAATAAAAGGAAGGCATCTTAGAGTTTTAACAGTTTCATCAGAGTACTTTTTGCTCAGCTTGTCTCGTCACCTGGCAGTTAAGAGTACAGGCCTTGTAGTCAGAGAGCCTGGTTTCACCACTTATTGGCTCTGTGAACCTTGGATAAGTTACCTAACCTATCTGTGCCTTGGTTTCCTCAGTGCCTACCTCATAGGGTTATTGTGAAGAAGATGTGATATAATCCATGTAAATTGCCTAGCACCATGCCTGGCACACAGTAAGGGCTTACTAGATGCTAACTATTGTTATTGTTACCTTTATAAGAGAGCACTGAACACATACTGGTATTGTTGCCATCATCATCACCATCATCATCATCATCATCACCATCAATGTACATATCTTCACTTCTCTATTACAATGATAACTTGAGGAGTAGTGTTGGGATAATCTCATTCTTCTTTATGTCTTCCACAACCCTCAACACAGTACTAATCTCTTAATGAGATTTGTTTGATATAGTCCCATTCATTTATTTTTGTCCTTACATCCCTTGCCTTTGGGGTCAGATTCATAAAATCTTCTCTAAGCTGAAGGTCCATAAGTTTAGTACCTATGTTTTCTTCTATGTAATTTATTGTTTCAGATCTTATATTTAGGTCTTTGATCCATTTTGAATTAATTTTTGTACCTGGAGACAAATTGTAATCTAGTTTGATTTTTTTGCATGTGGCTGTCCAATTTTTCCAGCACTGTTTATTGAAGAGGCTTTCTTTCTTTTTTTTTTTTTGACATTTTGTTCAGATAGAGTGGGAGAGAGAGAGAGAAACATCGACGTGAAAGGGATACATTGAGTGGTTGCCACCCTCACAACCCAACCAGGGCCGGGGGCAAACTGCAACTGAGGTACATGCCCTTAGCGGGAACCAAACCCAGGTCTTTCTAGACCGCAGGCTGACACTCTAACCGCTGAGCCAAACCGGCCAGGGCTGAAGAGGCTTTCTTTTCTCCATTTCACATTTTTGGCTCCTTTGTCAAAAATTGTTACCCCATATACATGTGGTTTTATTTCTGAACTCTCAATTCTATTCCATTGGTCTGTGTGTCTGTTTTTCTGCCAATATCATGCTGTTTTGATGATCATAGCTCTGTAGTATAATTTGAAGTCAGGTAGTGTGTTACCTCTAGTTTCATTTTTGTCTTTGTTTTCCTCAGGATTGCTTTTGCTATTTGGGGGTCTTTTGTGGTTTCATACAAATCTGACGGTTTTTGTTCTATTTCTTTAAAATACATCACTGGGATTTTGATGGGGATTGCATTAAATCTATATATTGCTTTAGGTAATATGGACATTTTAACTATGTTGATTCTTCCACTCCATGAACATGAAGCTTCTGCACAGCAAAAGAAGCCACCAACAAAGCAAAAAGGCAACCAAATGGGAGAAGATATTTGCAAACAACAGCTCTGACAAGGAGTTAATATCCAAAACATATAATGAACTCATACAACTCAACACCAACCAAACAATTCAATTAAAAAGTGGCAGAGGACCTGAACAGACACTTCTCCTAAGAAGACATACAAATGGTCAACAAATATATGAAAAGATGCTCAACTTCACTAGCTATTTGGGAGATATAAATCAAAACTACAATGAGATACCACCTCATACCTGCTACATCGGTTATTATGAACAAGACAAGTAATGACAAGTGTTGGCGAGGTTGTAGAGAAAAGGGAACCCTCATTCACTGCTGGTGGGAATGTAAACTGGTGCAGCCACTATGGAAAACAGTATGAAGGTTCCTCAAAAAATTAAGAATAGCTACCATATGACCCAGCAATCCCTCTTCTGGGTATCTACCCCCAAAATTTGAAAACATGTATTTACAAAGATATATGCACCCCTATGTTCATTACAGCATTATTCACAGTGGCCAAGGCATGGAAACAACCAGTGTCCTTCGATAGAGGATTGGGTAAAGGAGATGTGGTACATATATACAATGAAATATTACTCAGCCATAAGAAAGGATGAAATACTGCCATTTGTGACAACATGGATAGACCTTGAGAATATTAAGCTAAGTGAAATAAGTCAGCCAGAAAAAACTAAAAAACATATGATTTCACTCATATGTGGGATATAAAAGTGAAACTCATAGACACAGACAACAGTATAGTGGTTACCAGAGGGAAGGGAGGTGAGGGGTAGTAAAAGGTAAAAGAAGCCAAGTATAAGGTGATGGAAGAAGATTTGATTTTGGGTGGTGAGAACACAATGCGATATACAGATGATGTATCATAGAATTGTACACTTGTAACCTATATAATCTTATAAACCAATGTCATCCCAATAAATTTAATTTAAAAAAGATGTGTTAATAAATATGTGAATAAGAGATCTTATTCCCTGAGCAACACACCACCCAGGTCTCACATTTCTAACTTCACTCTGATTTCCACTTTTTCTGAGTTGTCCCACTTACGTCATCTAGTAGTGTCCTGGTCTGAAGAGTGATATCTACGAAGAAGGAGCCCAGACCTTTTCCTTGGATCTTGCCCAGGATGATGGTCAGAATCTTCATACTCTCGTGGATGACTTCGGAACTCATGGGATCATACAATCCATGCACCAGCAGGTCTAGGACAATTTTCTTATACTTTCTCACCTGTTATCAAGGTTTAAAAACCATTAGTAGCACAGAAATTCCTCCCCATGAGTTGAAAAGTAGCTCCATTTCTAATTGCCCAACAACCTTGCACTTGAACCAAGAGATTATAGTTTTATTCAGGATCTGTCACAACTCTCATCAAAATGCTTCCATTAACCTGACCCAAGAGCCCAAGTCAGTCTTTGAAGGCGAGCAGAGAGTGATCTGGAGAGAGGCCCATGGGTGGATGAGGCTAGGCAGGGCATGTCAAGGTGTACTGGATAATCTAGTTTTCTGAGACATACTGGGGACAGGATGAAATAGTCACTAAAGTTGACAGATGCTAAAGGAGGAGGTAGGAAAAATATTCTTTACTAAACAAGCATAAATTATTAGAAAATAAACTGAATTCACCAAAGAGGTGATGTCCAGCTGTATGCTAACCCTGCCTGCAACTCCATTCCCCAAGCCTGATAATACTGAGGTGTGATGACCCTAAAATGACCCCAACTCAGTCATGTCCTTGTATAATCTCTTTTCCTATGAGTGTGGAAGGAACCAGTGACTGACTTCTAGCCTATTGAATATGACAACACTCATGAGGTGTCATTCCCATGGTTACTTACATTATGTAAGACTCCTTAGCAGAGAGGAGTGAGTGACACTATTCTGCTGACCCCGAAGAAGTAAGCTACCACGTGAGTGGGCGCTGCTAAGAGCTAAGGGTGGCCCCTGGCTGACAGCAATCAAGGAAACAGGGACCTTGGTCCTACAACTGGAAGGAACTGAATTCTTGCAACAGCCATATAAGCTAGGAAAAGGACCCTGAGCTTCAGAAAGGAATGTGATCTAGCCCACACCTTGACTGCAGCCTTGTGAGACCCTGGACAGAGGACTCAGCTAAGCTGTGTCTGGACTCCTGACTCCAGAACTGCAAGCTAATAAATGCCAGGTCTGTGGTGCTCTGTTACAGAGCAGAAATAACTAGTACACGAGGTGCCATATGCCAGTCCTGGGGACTCCAGGCCACCTTCTCTTCCTACCTTGTCAGGGTTCTCACAGACCATGGTCCCTACGCCTCTCATCGCCATGTGACGCTTTTTAGCACTGGGGTCCCGGGCTCTTTCTGCCAAGATGAAAAACACATTCTTCAGGGGCTCCCACTTCTGGAACCTCAGTTTCCAAGAGACCTGGGGGGTGAATCAAAATGTGTTGATTCAGGAGTGTCCAGAGTCATACCCAACCCAACCCCAATCCCTCCCTCTAGGCAAAATCCTATGTTGCCAGCTCAATTTTACACCTTCTTTCTCCATCTAAAGACACATGATTTTTTTTTTTTTTTTTTTGCTGGAACTACAGGGTGGGGAAAAAGAAGGTTTACAGATGTTCATATGGAAAATAACACAGTAATTAATAAAAATACAAGAATAAACTGTGCTTTGAGTACTCACAACTATAAACCTACTTTTGCTCCACCCTCTATATTTATGTAGTTTGATCTACATAATGAAGAAATTGGTGGAGGAAGAAGAAAGGAGTAAAGAAAAATAATGCAGACCTGGTGCTGGCGGAGGTCTGGGGGTTGTGGACAGGCCAGCTGAGGTTTGGAAGATCGGAGAAGAAAGGGGTATTTGGAAGAGCTGGTTGAGCTGAGAAGAGGGGCCCCTTTCACAGGACAGGGCTCTCTGTATTCCTCTCCTCTCAAAGAAAAGAGCTTCCTGAACCCTTCTTCCTCCACCAGTTTCTCTGCTCTACTGTGTAACCAAACACATCGAAAGACATGCCTGTACTTGCTTTCTCCACTTCCTCTCCACTCTCCCTTGAGCCTTCTGCAATCAGGTTGATGGCCTCCCTCACCTGTCCCCAGTGTGGCTAAATCTAAGGGTCAGTTCTCAGTCCTCATGTTCCTCAACTTCTCAACAGCATTTGATGCAATAGCAAAGCACATCTACACATATTTCAGGGCACCCGAAGGATGTCCCACCCCAGAATACATGCATCTGAGCAATAAAGATTAGAAAAAGAAATGCATTTAAAAAATGAAAAATTGGGCAATTATGTGTGGCTGGTGCAGAAACCTGCACTTCAAAGGACTGAACTGTAAGTGACACTGGGGCAAGAGATGGGTTACCTCCACAGGGGGCTTATGAGCCCTGATACCAGGAAGGCCTCGGGGGTCCGCACAGCACAGACCATGGCAACATGTACTGGTGCCAGGACCAGGACAATACAAGATGCAGACAAGATCCAAGAAGAAGCCTCCTCTTCGCCATCCTTAGTAATGGGGTGGGGTGGGGAGCTGGAGACTGGATCGACAGCCCTATTTGGTGTTTGGGTGATCACCAAGTCCCGTCATTATCTCTGAATATTCCTTGCAGTTCACTCTATATTTTCATCATTAATTTCAGAGCAAGCTAAATTTGTTTCAACTTGTCTCCTTGCTATTCTATAAACATTCTGTCCATGTTTAAGGAACTATCATTAGACACTTTCCAGAAGAAGGAACCTCAGTGGAGCCAGCTGAACTAATGCAGACCAGGCAAGCACACAGGTTACAAAGCGGCTGCTGGGAAGGGACATTCATTCGTAATAGTTTGTGTCAGACCTTGGAAAAGAAAGATATCACTGATGTCCTTTTCCTCTTGGGCTGGCCGGTGGGGATGGAAAGGGGCTTTCCCAGAACTTTTCTCTGCATTTGGTCCATGGAACTATAAAAAAAATATATGAGCTACTAACACTTTTCAAAGCCTCATTGTCAACAAGCATCATCATACAAAGCTCTGTGTCGAGTAAGAATATAAGGAAGCAACACCTCTGAGGACTGTCCTTATGAACCTGTCACCTTGGTAAGGAGATTAAACAGTCACATAAAAAGATAAAGAGCAATTTGAGGCAGACCAAAAGGAATCACAGTACAGAGTTCAAGATGGTCTACCCCTGGTTCCCAGCCCACCCCACAGTCTTCTTGTGTGAGAATCACCATAGAAATAAAACACAGATTCTGGGTCCCACCCATAGAGAGTTGAAGTAAAAAGTAGCCTGAAACATTCTTCAAGGCTCCCCAAGGAACTAAATTGGTTCTGCTTTTTAGAGGAGATTTTTATATCTCTTACAATTTTTAAAATGCACATATCTTGCAGCAAATCTTTCATACATTAACACATCATATGCTCAAAGACATTCACAAAGGATAGGCACCAGAGTCTGTAATAAACAACAAAATGTCCTTTAATAGTGTACTATAAAGAAATTACACATATACACCACAGCTATACAACTACAGGATGGCTACCATTAAAAAAAATATTGTGCAAGTCTATGTGAGCTAAAATGATCTCCAAAATATACTGTTGAGTGAAAAGTGCAGGTCAGCCTGTAAGTGTGCTACCCCATCTGTGTGAACACAAATTGAGGTAGGGAAATCAACATATGCTTGCATATGCACAGAACGGGGAAGGATATCCAAGAAATTTGAACAAAAATTGCCTGTAGGGTAGAACTCTGAGCAACTGAGGTAGGAAGGAGACTTACTTTTCCACTACTTTAAAATATATAGTTTGTCATTTAACCACGTGTCTCTATTATTTAAAATGAATATTATTAGTAAGTACAGCTCACAAAGTGATGCTGACCTACAGCCTAATTTGAGGCCAACTAGTATAAACCTGTGCTACTCAGACTAGAACGTGCACGCGAATCACCAGAGGATCTTGTTAAAATGCTGGTTTGGACTCCACTGAGTCTGGGGTGGGGGCACCGGTTTCTGCCTTTCTGATAAACTCCCAGGGGACACCAATGCTGCTGGTCCCAGGACCACCTTTGAGTATGAGTATAAGGTTAAGAGCTACAAGAATCAAGAGAACACTGTGGCTGGAGCGGCTGGCAGAGAGCACCCAAGGCATGTGGGTGAGCTTTCAAAGAGGGGCAGAGCGTGTCTGACATGTTGGGTTTTCACTGGGATCCCATGAACAGGTAGTTAGTATCACAGTAGTGGTTAAAATGGGAGAGTGGTAGAAGATAAGGCGACAGGAAGTCAAGATCAGCTGTGAAGGACTTTGACCACTGAAGAGTTTAGTTTCAATTGTATTGCAGATAAGAGTAAACCATTAAATTTTTTATTGAGGTGAAGTCTAGATAACATACAATCAACTATTTTAACAGTGTTGTACAACCACCACCTCTATTTAGTCTTAAATATTTTCATCACCCAACAAGGAAACCCATACCTATTAAGAAGTGTCCCTCCATTCTGCCCTCACCCCAGCCACTGGCAACCATTAATCTGCTTTCTATCTCTATGAATTTATCTGTTCTGGATATTCTATATAAATGGAATAATTCAATATCGTGACCTTTTGTATCTGGCTTCTTTCTCTTTGCATAATGTTTTTGAGGTTCATCCATGTTGGAGCACATATTGGTACTTCATTCCTTTTCATGTCTGGGCAATATTCCATTACATGGATATACCACATTTTGTTTATCCATTCATCTGCTGACCAACACTTAGGTTGTTTTCACGTTCTGGTTTTTGTGAGTAGTGCTGCTATGAACATTGGCATTTGTTTGAGTATCTTCTTTCAATTCTTTTGGGTATATTCCTAGGGGTAGAATTGCTGATTCAGGTGGTATTTTTTCAGGAACCACCAAACTGTTTTCCACAGTGGCTGTACCATTTTACACTTCTACCAGCAATGCGCAAAGATTATAATTTCTCCATATCACCAACAATTGTTATTTTTCAGCTTTTTAAAAAAATCCTTACAGGAGGACATGTTTTTCACTGATTTGAGAGAGAGAGAGAGAGAGAGAGAGAGAGAGAGAGAGAGAAACATAAGTGTGAAAAGAGAAACATCAATTGGTTGCCTCTTGTATGCACCCTGACCAGAGATTGAACCTGCAACCTAGGTATGTGCCCTGACTGGAAATTGAACCTGCAACCTTTTGGTGCACAGGATAATGTTCCAACCAACTGAGCCACACTGTCCAGAGCTTTAAATTATTATTATATCCATCCTAGCAGGTATGAAATGTTATGTTATGGGTTTGATTTGTACTTCCACGGTGACTAATGGCATCTTTTCATGTGCTTGTTGGTGATTTGTGAGTTTGTTTGTTTTTTATAAGACATGTCTATTCAAATCCTTTGCCCATTTTCTTAGTGAGTTGTTGATCTTTTTGCTTGTGAGTTGTACAGTTCTTTATATAGTCTGGATAATAGACCCTTTTAGACATATGATTTACAAATCTTATTCCCTCTGTAGGTTGTCTTTTTACTTTCTTAACAATGTCTTTTAATATACAACAGTTTTTAATTTTGATGAAGTCTAATTTATCTATTTTCAGTGTTGTTGCTCATGCTTTTAGTGTTATAGCTAAGAATCCATTGCCAAATCCAAGGTCCTAAAGGTTTATCCCTATGTTTTCTTCTAAGATTTTTATAGTTTTATGTTTAGGTTGTTGACTCATTTTTGGTCAGTTTCTGTATATGGTGTGTGAGTAGTGCTACTATGAACATTGGCATTTGTTTGAGTATCTACTTTCAATTATTTTGGGTATATACCTAGGGGTAGAATACCTATGGTGTGTCCAACTTCATCAGAACCACTGCCTTGTTTGTTTTGGCTTAAAATATTTTCAGTAGCAGAAATGACAGACAAATGGCTGCAGTGGTTCTCAGCCCTGGTGGCACCAGAGTTCCTAAGGGACTTCTACTCCGCCTAACACCCGGGCTGCACCTAAATGACGTCCATCGCCTCTGCAGGGGGGCTCAGGCAGCAGTCACTTTTAAAGCTCACCATGTAATTCCAATGGACAGTCACTGAATTAGGTGACTAGTGACCTTGGTTTGCCTGAGCCTGAGGGGTTTCCTGGACAAACCGGAATAACTGGCCACCCCACTGATTATTGTTGAGTCTTCAACTTATTTAAATGCAGGTAGCTGGTAGAACCCAGTCCTGTTAAACGCTCGTGCTTTGGGACATTTGACTCTGATTGACCTGGAGGTGCTGGGGATTTGGTTTCTCCACCATCTTTGCCCCCCTGGTGGTTTGGGTAATGTTCTCTTTGTCAGAAGACACCGCAGACGTCCATGGAAATACCTCTTCTCCCGTAGCCCCCGCCTCGAGTTCCCCTTCAGCTCTGGCCAGCAGATTTCCTCTCACCACTACAATGAGGGGCCCAAATAGAACCCCCGAGAATTGCACCCCCACCGATTAATGAGATTTTTTGTTTGTTTGAGTAAAGACATGCCCCTAAGCTTTACATTCAGCCAGCCGTTCTCACATCTGAGTGTGCATCGAATCACCTGGAGGACTCGTTAACACACGGCTCCCAGGCCTGGTCCCCAGAGCTGGGGGTGCTGCACATCTGAAGCAGGGCCTCACACTGCGTTTCTACCCAGTCCCGGGGGCACCGGGAGGCTGCTTCCGGTGCATGAAGAGAATGAAACCACAGCATTGCAATGCCATTTCTCTCCAGAATCAAGGGGTTTAAAATTCATACAGAGGCAAACAAAACAAAACAAAAATACAACAACAACAATAAAACCTATGCTTGGAGGTTTCTTTCTGGGGGTTTTCTGCACACAAGCTTCTGTTTCAACAGAACCTGCCTCTCCTGAGGTCGAATGCTCCGGGTCAGAGCTGGCGATGCCTGACGATGGATGTGGGAGTTTAAAGGAAGCAAAGCTCCCTCAGGCTGAGAGCCACTCACCAAGGAGAGCACAGGCCTCTTCATCAACAGTTGGCGTCTCTGTTCTGAGGCATGAGAAAGTCATGCGTGAAGCTTCTCCTCCATCGAGAGGAAAGCAAACCTGGTTCCCTGTCCTTTACACTCCACGCCTCTTGTAGCATCAGCAGAGCCGGGGAGGGCTGCAGCCATCCAAGGCAGCTTTCCATGCTTCCGAAGCCAAGAATCCAGGGAGCAAGATTCTGCGGGCTCCAGTATGGCAGCCATCCCCCGGATTCCTGCCAGCCGCCCAGATGTACTTGGAGACCAGCATGGGGGTCACTGTGCTGGAACGCCACTGGATGCGTGCTCCAAAGACCTGGAAGGACTTTGCTGAGATGGCTTGTCGAGCTTACTACAATGACACCAAATTCCACAGAATCATCAAATAATTATGATCCAGGGAGGTGACCCCACAGGGAGGTCAAGATGGTGCATCTATTTGTGGCAAGCAATTTGAAGATGAACTTCATCCAGTCTTGAAGTTCACAGGGGTTGGATTCTTGCAATGGCCAAAGCAGGGCCAGATACCAACAGGGGCCAGTTCTTTGTGACCCTACCTCCCACCCAGTGGCTTGACAGCAAACACACCATTTTAGGACAGGTGTGCCATGGTATAGGAATGGTGAACCGAGTAGGAATGGTGGAAACAGACTCCCAGGACTGCCCTGTGGATGATGTGAAGATCTCCAAGGCATAGCTTTCTGCCTTGATGCTCTCTTGGGCACACCAGGTCCTCTAGATGGCGCAGTGAACCAGCTTCCAGATGAACCAGAATGACACATAACGCTGAGCTTCATTTTGGCCTTGTAAATCATGGAGCTAAGAAGGCCTGACATCTTGGGTGAGTTAGAGATGGAAATGTATTTTATTTTATTATTTTGTTGTTGTTAATCCTCACCTGAGGATATTTTTCCATTGATTGTGTTGTGATTTTTTTTTCTTTTTTTTAGAGAGAATGAAAAGGAGGGAGGGAGGA